ATAAGAATTCAGGCAGAAAGACCCCCACTCATCCCTAAATTTGGGTAGTCACATTCCCCCAGGAAAGCTGGCACCACATTTACCCATTAATCAATATCTCACTTTTTTCCCTCCTATCCCACCAACTATATAAATCCTGAGAACAAAGGACTCACTCTCTCTCTCTCAGAGGCTCAGGATGCTCTCGCTCTCAGGGGCTCAGGGAGCTCTTGGCTCTTGGGCCACAGGGCCTCTGGCCACAGGCTGCCCAGGGGCTTGCCACCCTGGTCTCCAGCCTCTCTTGCTTTTCTCACCCTGATTTACTCTGAAACTTTCCCTTTCACCCCCTGATCTTTCCAGTCCTGTTCTCTTCCATGGAAGAGGACCACTAATAAACTGATGCCATACTACTAGATTTGCTGATATGTAATTCTTTACATGCGTCAGCAAGAAGAACCAGGTCTCTCCCGTCAACACTCCGAGCCTCTTCATGTGCCTTATCCAACACCAGCCTCTGCTCATCCCCCTTACGGAAGGAAAGAATTCAATAAGGCTTCTATGTCTGGCCAATTGAGATGATAAATGGCAAAAACTGACGCGATCAAATCAGTCATTTTAGCAGGGTTACGTCCATAAGAAGGGTTTGAGCTTTTCCAGTTTCACAGATCCACTGTAGGAAACAGAGTATGTGCCAGATAACATCTAGCAGACTGGCCTTCTGGCCTTACCCTCACTGAAAAGTCTCCAAAAAGGATAGTGCCCTGCCCCAGTGGGGGCTTTTCCTCCACCGAATCTGGTTTCTTGACCAATTCAAGATAGCGATGCAGTTCTGGTGCACTTTTCCCATTTCACTCACAGGAATGGATCCCCTGGGGCTGCAGGAACTCTGACCAGCCTGCAGCAGTCTTAATACCTAGATCTTCCTGGCCCCTCTCCTCTGACCTTCTATCTTTCACGTGTATATTCTCTTTTCTCTGAGCCATTAACTGATTTTCTTCTTTTTTTAACTCTGCATGCATCTTTATCATGTAAACTCTAGATAAAGCACTTTGTCCCACTTCCCTGATATTGACAAAACAACTCTAGTTACAGTATAACACAGTAATTTAAAGACCCATTCAGTGACCAGCACTCTCCTAAGTCTAAGTTATACAGGACACAAACACAACAGTACTACAACAAAACAACAAACGCTTTCGATATACGCTCATAGGTCAATGAATTAGAACTGGCCCAAAGGGCCATTTTGCGGAATGGAGGCTTTCCACCCATTCTACCAGACGGAACTCCACAAAGCTCCAAACAGACGTCCTTTTGGACCAGAACAGATGCCCTTTCGGACCAGACAGAGCTCCAACAGACAGTACCCAGACAGAACAGATGACCTAAGTTGTGACCCGGGATTTCAACCTGAACCAGAAAGCGCAATGATTCAATCCAATGTGATGCACGACGAGAGGTGCTGGGAGCAAGGGGTGAGAATCCTCAAGTGAAATCACTTGGCAGCTGCTTGGGATTTTCTGACCCCAAACGCCCAAGGCCCCTCAGTCCAGGCAGCCAATGGGACTCCCTGCCAAACACCCAGACTTACCAGAGAGTCCCAAAGTCTGTGCCGGCAGAGTTGCCAAAATATGTAACCGGAAAAGACACCGGCGTTCGGGCTGCCTGTCACTACCAAATCCAATAAGCAATGACAGCGATTGATTCTTGTATGGGCACTTTATTCATATGGCCAGCGATCCAAGAAGATAGCAGGTTCATACCCTAACAAACCATCTTCCCCTTTCTTTCCTGGCCAGATCTTTTTATAAGGGGGGTGGGGAAGGGCAAACAATGTGCAGTCAGGGCTTTGAGATTCAGCCGCTGCACATTCTTGTCCTGGGCAGTTAGTTGTGTCCAAGGGGGAGGGGCAGTCACCTGCTTCTTCCTGGTACGGATGTCTCCAGGCAGTAATCTCCAGCCAGAGCCCCAGGAGGTCAGCTGCTCCTCCTGGGCACCAGGATGGCCTTATCTGTAGTTTCTGAAATGAAAGCTAAACATACACATTACCTGCTAGATTTATGGCTATTAGCCTTAAGCTAAAATTTTCCAAGTCTTAAGCCCCCTATCACAACCACTTCTCATCCATTCTTTTATCTACAAAAATATTTATAAATAAGTTTATTTTAAGTAAAGGAGGAAACAAATGACACAGCATTCCAAATGACATGAGGGAAAACCAAGTTTTCCCCTCCACATTGCCCACACCCTAACCTGGTGACTAGTCCCTGTGTCTCCTCTCAGCACGTCCTCTGCCTGGGTTTGGTTCTGTTTTTTAACATAATTTGTTTGGCAGGATACTTTTCTCACATAATAACATTATTTAGAAGTCATTCTCTGTTAAAATCCATTAGAACCACCTTACTAGGTTTTATTTCTTCAATGAAATATCATATATTCTCACCCATTTTTAATGTTCTATAATATCTCACAGTGTGAGCAAACCATAATTTAACAAATTCTCTTCTACTGAAAACTTTAAAATTATATCTGTTATTATGTGTTGGATAAAATATATTTAACATACTTCATTTCATACACAGGGAAACATAATTAGGGGAAATTTTTAATGCTTTTCTCTTAATTTCATTTATTAATTTGAAAGAGAGAGAGCGTTGTTCCACTTATGTATTCATTCATTGGTTGCTTCTTGTATGTGCCCTGACTGGAGAATGAACTGACCACCTTGGCATATAGGCAGTACACTCTAACCAACTGAACTACCAGGCCAGGGCTACTAGGAGAAAATTTTGAAAAATGGAATTTCTGGGTCAGAGGGTATGAGGATGTTAGTTCTGGATGGCCATTCTCAAAATGATCACCGAGGAGTCTGCACCAAGGACACTGCACCTGCTTGCTCATCAGCCTCAGAGATGTCAGGAGTCCTCTGGATCCCCATACAGGCCACCAAATTATGTTGACCTTAAAAATATAGTAGTCAGTTATTTTACCAGCAGATAAGGGGTTTACTCGGAAACAGTAAGAAATTGCAATTTAGGACAAACAAGCTGTAGCAAAAATCATAAGCAAGCTCCACAAGTAAAAGAGAGGAACGTTATTTCACAGGCAGAAAGGAGGAAGTTGGGAGGGGTCACTTCAAATGAGAGTGCGCTGCAGAAAAGTGTCAGTTCAGTGTGACGATGGCTTCTCTCTGGCTGAGGTGCTGGGGAGTCGGTTTCTCCTGGGAGCACACGGTACCATCTTCTTGTTGGGGCCTGTGACAGACAATGTTTCCTGTAATTGACCCCAGGTGATGCAATGTGACAGCACCCACACTGACACCCAAATCCACTTTAGTGAGGTTTCCCTTTCTGCACTTTTACAGTAATAATTACAGTTAGTTGGCTCATTTCAGGTCCATGGAAATCAAGTTATATGTACGTGCTCAAAACGAGGTAAGGAGCAGAGGCACTCTGCACACTTAAGAAAGCCAGTAGCAGCTACACTGACCCTGCTCTGTGGACCCCTGTCCTCAAACTTGATATCTTATTTTTATGCAGAATACTTGTAGATTTTCTCAGCACTTTTAAAATTCATTTAGTTTTATTCGGTTTTATCTTGTCTTCCTATTTCTGAAATGTTTTTAGACCTGACTTACTTAAAAATATGTATTATTCATAACGCCACTTCTTTGAGATGTGAAATTCTCCCAGTGTGTTTTCCAGTGCACTTATTATTCTATTTGTTGTGTTTAAATGTCTGAACCCTCTGGGACTTCTTTTGTGTCTGCGAATTGTGTGGTCAGAATGTACTGATAAGTTTCCCGGAATGCAATGCATTCTTGACCACGTTATCACTGGTTATGCAGCTCTTGTTTTGACAAGGGAGGGCACTGACCCGCCTAGACGAAAGTTGGGGATCCCGGCTACAGTCCGGTGGAACAAAGACACTTTGTCAGGCGGCAGGAGGACCACGTCCACCCTAAAGACCGCCCCGGGCTCGGAGTTCCCAGCTCCCGCGGGTCGGGTCACCAGCTGCTAGAAAACTAGCCACAGAAACCACCAAGCCGCGGTCCTCGCTGCAGGCTGCTGACCCGCGCTCGGGAGACGCAGAGCAGCCAATCCCCGCGGGGCGGGGCGGGTCTTCCGCTGGCCGGCCCGCTCGCGAGGGGGGCTCTGCCCCCTGCCCCGCCCTTTCATCTTCTGACTGCCCAATGATGGGCAGGGCCCTGGGATCGCAGCACTGATTGGCGGATTGCTCCCACGCGTCTATCCAGGCAGGAACCTCACCCCCTACGTCCTCACTCCTCCCGAGGGTGGGAGGCCCAGGAGCCGGGACCGGATGCTGCACTGAGCGGGCAGCGCGGCAGAGGACCCGGGAGACTGAAGCGAGGAATTTTACCATGTGCAACCCTTAGCCCGAGACCTTCCAAGTCCAGCCAGAGAGACCCCAGATGCCCTCATCCCGAGGGGCCCAAACCCCTTCAGCACCGAGGGGCCCGCGTCTCCTGACTCCCAACGCTTACACCCCCAAACAGCCTGGAACCCCAGTTCCCCTCAGCTCGGGGCGCCTTTCCTGCAGCTCACCCGCCCGGGAAGACCAAACCTCCCCAAACTCAGACCCCGAATGCCGTCGGCCTGGAAACTGACTCAGTGGAGGGGACCCGGAAGCCCCTCGTGAGACGCCCCAACCCCCCTCAGCCGCGGCGGTCTGACCCTCTCCCCGAGGGGCGCTGAGTGTCCTCCGCCCGGAAGACGCAGATCGAGTCCTGAGGGACCCGAACCTCTCAGCCCGAGAGACAGCGGAGTGCCTGCCGGACACTGCGCCTGCGCCTCGTGCGGGCTTCTCCGGACCCCGGGGCGCCTCCGGGCCCTTCCCTGGGAAAAGCGCGTTGTCGCCGAGGCCACCGGACCCCTCAAACGCCCCGGGTGGTGGTCTGCGAAACCTGCGCTGAGGGTTAGGGTTAGGGTTAGGGTTAGGGCCGTGGGAAAGCCGGGAATTAGGGCGCCTCCCCACCTTCCGCGGGCGGGTCTGCGGGCGGCCCCGCCCACCCAGCCCCTCCTCCCGCAGGGCCCCGCGGCCCCCTCTCCGGGCGCCCTGCCACCCGGAGAAGGGCGTTCGGTCCTCTCAGCGCCTTCTCCTCCCGCAGGCGCTTCGGACTCGGGGCTCGGACACCATGAACCCCGACGGAGATCCGCAGGAGCGCCCTGAGGGAGGAGCGGGGCGGACGCCTCAGGTGAGCTGACGGGTCGGCGAGGAGTCGGCGAGGAGCGTGGGGACAGAGCTCCGCAGACACAGGGCCCTCGGGGTGACCCTCGCTGTGCGCGTGCGGAGCGCTGGTGGGAGAGGAGGGACTCCGCGGGGCAGGGCCGGTCAGGGAAGTGGGAGAAGGCCCAGCGTGCGAGCAGGGCCCCGGGACACACCCCCGAGGAGCGGCGCTCCGGGACCGGGTCTCCACTGAGACGGGGGCTCCGCGCCTGCGGCACAAGGACCGTCGAGGCCCCGCCTGCTTCCTGCACGGGGAGGGGCCCCGCAGGGAAGGCCCCCCGCGTGTTCTCACTCGCATCACCGAGTTACTGGTGTGTCCACTCTCCCCTCCAGGCGGAAGCAGCTTTGGAAGACGCTGCCCTCCACTTCTCCAGGGAGCAGTGGGCAGAGGTGGGAGACGGGGAGAAAGGCGGGTACCGGGACGTGAACGTGAAGAGGAACTCGGACGCGCTCAGCAGCCCAGGTAGCCAGTGCGCAGGCGCTGGGCCCAGGGGCCTGGAGACGCGGCAGGCGCTGGGCTGGCCCCGGCTCAGGGGGCTCCGTCCGCCTGCAGCTCCCTCCCGCACGGACAGGGGTCGCAGGGAGTCTGCTCCTTCAGTCAGAGCGGGCGGCGCTGACGAGGGTGCGGGGCTCACGGCAACTCGCTGCAGACTCTCCCGTCCCATCTGAGCCAGCCCCATGGGCTTCCTGGGCTTGTCCCTCCCCCACGCTCTCTGCTTCGGGACAAAGGTTTTGTCTCTTTCCAGGTCTCTGGGCCCACGACTCGCTTTCCTGTGTCACCGCCGCAGGCAGGCGGGCCACCGAGCTGCAGGAGGAGGACGACCCTGAGGACTCCGATGAAGAATGGGCCCCGAGGCAGCAAGGTGAGCGGCGGGAGGAGCCAGCGCTGCCCTCCCGACTCGGACCTGGTGTGGGTCGGGCTGCATCTCAGGACGTCACCAGGGAACAGGTTTGCTGGTGCAGCGAACGAGCAAGAGGCACAACAGTGTGTCGCACAGTGAGGGGCTGTTCCCGTCAACTTTCACGTGGGCAACGTAATCGTCTATATTTATAGACACATTAGTAAGCAGTGAATGTGTAAGAACATAAAGTGAGCGAGAAATAACTAATTCAGAAGAGTCGTCATCGCAAGAGAGGGAGGCGGGTCTGGCCGGTGAGGAGGGTCCCCACACCTGGCCGCGCGGTGGCCCGCATGGAGACGGACGGGGAGCAGTGTTAACCGTTGTGATGACGGGAGTGGGGGAGGGCCAGGGTCGGGAGGGGTTGACCACCGTGTGGTTTCCTGATGTCGGCCTCATGTTCCGTCCAGTATCGTGAGTGTTTGGAGGGTGGGGTCGGTCCACTTTCGTGGGTCTGGGGTTGAAACACGGCTGAAGTCAAGATGTGATCTTCAACTTCACTGGGATTCTGTTTCTGGGGTCGACACACTGTGGGTGCTGACCCACAGTCGAATGACTGAGGAAGGGCGTGGGTGGCCAGTATGTGCCCAGTGCGGGGAGGATACCAGAGAAAGGAGGCCGGGTGGTCAAGGTGCCCTCAGCCAGGACAAGGCCAGTTTGAATGAAGAAAACAGGACGGAGAAAGGGTTATGTTGAAGATGTGGAGTTTCTGTGCAGTTACTTGTATTACATTTTTGTCAGGAGAGGCCAATTTATTCTTTAATAAATGTAATAGATGCTTTATGAACATAAGGTGAAGCGTAGATGACACTTTGCCTATTTTTTTTAAACATTCTAATGAAATTAGTGGATGGCCCCAATAGAAGCCGAGGCCTTAATGATACATCAGAAGCACTTTCCACTCATCCTGGGATTGTTCTTGGACTGCTCTCATTCAGATTTGTGTCCCTAGTAAGAATCACCAGATTTTGGAAATATTTACCCACCAAAACACTGATTTCTCATCATCTTTCAGTGAAACCCTGGGTGGCCTTCAGAAGGGAACAGAGTAAACACCAGAAGGTGAGTATTTCCAAATCCTGTTGACAACAAAATTTTCCTCATGGATAGAAATGCAGGTAAGAGTAGGAAAATGCAGAAAGCATCCTAGGGACTGCCACCTTCCTTTCCTGGTCTCTTCCACATACTGTCCAACATTATTATCCTTTCTTTCAGATTTTATTTATCTATTTTTAGAGAGGGGGATGGAGGGAGAAAGTGAGGGAGAGAAATATGAATAGGTTGCCTCTTACATGCCCCCAAGTGGGTGAGCTGGTCCACACTCTAGACATGTGCCCTGACCGGGAATGGAACTGGTGACCTTTCAGTCTGCAGGCCAATGCTCAGTCCACTGAGTCACACCAGCCAGGACTCATCATCATCTTAATGGTTAACAACTACAGCAGCAATAGTAACTACCAGTTGTTTCATTCTCACAGTGTTTCAGACTCTAACAATTCTATGTGAATAAACTCAAACATTACAACAATCTGATGAGGTATGTACTATAATTGTCTCCATTTATGATGAGGGAAGTGAGCTTTCAGAGATATAGAAATGTTTGACTATATGTCTAAGATCTCAGTATCAGTGGTAGTGCAATCCAACCCATAGTTGCTTATCTAAACCACCTACAAACTCATTAAAACTTTCATGGTTTCATCCTGGACACCGTGACTCAGTTGGGTGTCATCCTGCACAGGGAAAGATTGACAGTTTGATTCCTGATCAGGGTGCATGCCTGGGTTGTGGGCCAGGTTCCTGGCTGGGGGTATTTGTGAGAAGTGACTGATCAATGTTTCTCTCTCACATCAATGTTTCACTCCCTCTTTCTCCCTCCCTTCCTGTCTCTCAAGAAAATAAACAAAATCTTTTTTAAAAACTAGAAAAATAAACTTTCATAGTTTTCTCAAGTTTACATTGTCTTACCCATATGTCATTACATCATTCATCTGACTGATATTTCAGTTGAAGTTCTTCTCTGCTGTGCTGAAGTAAGAGATGCACTAAGACCCTCCGACTAAGGAAAGCATGCAATGTGCAGGCAGTTTGCACAGTGGATGGTCCCAGATGAAGAAGAATGTAAAATGTCCAGGATCACAGCCTCCCACTCTAATCAATAAAAGCATCTCTCACCCCTGAGGAGCTTCACATTTGCTGATTGAGAAACAACAAATACTAAAATGACTTAAGGACTTCATATAGGTTACACACTCTTCAACAGAAACTCATCTGTCTGGAACTGATTTCAAATGCCCTTTCTTATAGGGTGAAGTAACAGCTTCTTTCTCTGAGTGCCAATGAGGCCACTCTCATCCTGTTTAGAAGCATTTGTTCAGCCCGCCTACCTCTGTGTTGTGAACTCTTTGAGATGCTGGTCCATACCTGAGTCTTCTCAGAAGACACAGGCCCAGATCAGGGCTCCTGAGAGGGCCCCTGAACGTTTGCTGAATGAATGATTTCACAATTACAAATTAAACTAGAAGATGATCAATGAATGTTGAAGGTAATTTCTATGAGACTGAAATATGGAGAGAGCTGAGGGGTAAATTGATATCAGGACTGTAATCTCACATTCATACTGTATTACACAATTCACAGAATACTTTGGTGAGCATTATTTAATTGCACATTCACTGTAACATTGAAAATTAGTATGTTATAGATCATGAAACTGAAGACAACTAGGTACTGATACTGCCTTTTTCAAACAATTGGTGGGAACCAGCTAATCTAAGTACAAATATTATTTCTAAGAAATATTGCAGATTCTATCACCATTTTATTTATTGTCTAGATATGTTTCTGCCAACGATTTCTTTATTCTCTTCTTCATATCCCTCACTCTCAATATTAGAGAGACAGTAGAAAGAAAAAAGCCATTAGGCATGAGTTCTAATCTTGGATTCATTACCCACATTGGCCCTATCCCCTCTGATATTCATACTCCCTAGGTATTTCAAAGGGTTGAAGTTTTAAAGACATGTATGTAAAATGTATCATAAGCCTAAAAAATTAAATATGTTATCTTTTAATATGTGACTCTTACACTGAAGGCAACACCCCAGGTGCCATTAAGCAATGAATCTAGTTTGAAGGAATTGTCAGGAACAGCAAATTTGATGACTGCAAGTGACTCAGAACATGCGCAGAAACCAGTGTCCCCTCCTGGAGAAGCATGTCCCTTTGAAAAGCACACTAGACGAAAATCGGGTAAGAGAAAATAATTTGGAAACTTTAGTTCCCCTAAGTCCTATAGAAGGGCGGATAAGTATGGCCTAGGTATGTGGGGCGGACTTTGGGTAGGCCTGTACTTAAGCTGGGCTAAGCTGAGGCTGAAGTTACCACTGCACCTTTGGGCAAATCCTATACATTCTCTGAGCTCCTGAATGCTAATATGTAAAGTGAAGATAAGGAAACATCACTCATACATTGTTTAAAAACATTACATTAAATTTAAAACAAGTGACACATGCAACTTGTGCAATAAATCCATCTGTGATAATAGCAACCACACTTTATTGATGTTGTGTGTCCAGGCCTTTCCTCAATGCCTAACATATAAAGTGCACTCAATAAATATGTTATGAATGATTAAAGGGTGGCAAGTAAACCTGGTAATAGGAAGATCTAGAAACTAAAATTCAATCATTCATCTGTAGTTAGTGTGGAGTCTTACTCTTCTGAACCAATAGTTAATGGAGTAAAATACCAGAGTGTGAAAAAGGACGCTTAATAATTTGATGGGAGGAGATTGTGTGTTATCTGACAAAATGGGAACTAACACTCCAGACCCCACCAACCTTGCTCACCTGTCCTTCTCCAACTTAGAACTCAGGAGAACAGAGATTGACATGAAGATGTACAGCCTACTAGAAAGAAAGGACTGTGGGTACCAAGAGGTCACTGGGCCCCAGGATGATGACTACCTTTGTAAGTGACCCTCACTAAGGAACATGTTATGATACAATAACTTCATCTAGTCCTGTGGTTCCCAAATCATTCCCTTCCTCTAGTGACCTGGAGTACAGGATTGAGTCTCAATGATGTCAGTGCAGGACCCCCTCTGAAGCTCTTTGTGTCCAGGAACATGCATTATACCTTCCCTAACCCCTGTTGCTCTCGCCTCCAGATTGTGAGAAGTGTCAGAACTTCTTCATCGACAGCTGTGCTGTGCATGGACCCCCTACATTTGTAAAGGACAGTGCAGTGGACAAGGGGCATCCCCACCACTCAGCCCTCACCCTGCCCCCTGGGTTGAGAATCAGGCCATCGGGCATCCCTGAGGCTGGGCTTGGAGTGTGGAATGAGGCAGCTGATTTGCCTGAGGGTCTGCACTTTGGCCCTTATGAAGGACACATCACAGAAGATGGAGAGGCAGCCAAGAGCAGATACTCCTGGCTGGTGAGAACTATTTACCTCTACCACTGCCCTCTGGCTTCCCACATTCCTACTGAGGCTTGGAGGAACCTCACCTCACCTAGGTTCTAGTCATGGAGGGGATAATGTGGTTAGCTCTGTGTACTGACTGGACTTTACATGAACACAGAGCTCCTGTTTAAGGATCAGACGGTAAGCAGGAGCAAAGTGGTGCAGACACAACGGACTGGCTCCTCCCTTGTGGGGCTCCTGCTCTGACTGGACAGGTAGACTCAGATGTGTAGATGATGAGTAAGAAAAATATCATGTGGTGACAACTGGCAGTTGAATCCCCATGCACGCTGGAAGAGCTTTGATGACAATAGAGTAAAGGAATTCTTCTGACTATTACCTCCCCACCAAAAAAATAAAAGGTCTTTAACTTCTTTTCTGAAACACAGATCGCCAAAGGGAGAAACTGCTATGAGTATGTGGATGGAAAGGACAGGTCCTGGGCCAACTGGATGAGGTGAGGTCAGCAGGTCTCTGAGTGCCAGAGGGGACTCTCATCCCCCACAAGCCCATGTATCTTTCCCTGTCATGATGCCTCCCTCAGTGGTCTCCCTTAATCCTTTTTTCCTCTTTTTCTCCACACAGTGTTCTTTTATATCAGGGGACATTTAAGAAAAAAATATGACATATATCCTCAAAATATAAACCTCTCTGCTAGACACAATATGGGAACTGGAAAGGTCCTTGAAGAGCCTAGATTCACCAGGGACACTGGATTACACTTTATCAAATGAACGTTAATTAGACACTATATTCCAGTTTATGTGAAGGAATACATAACTTAAATAGATCACCCAACCCATGTCCTTATGGAGGACTTCTCATGAGAGACATAAAACAATTGCTTTTAGAAACATTTAACTATCATTTCCAAGAAATACACAGTGTCAAGATAGCACAAACCAAGGAAGGCCTAAACCTGTGAGGGCAGCACACCATTCCAGGCTCACTTCTAACTAGAGCTGGGCTCTGAGGCCTGCAGAAGAATGGTCATGGGCCCCTTTCCTGAGAGGGGCTCTCTTTTATCAGGGATAACAGAATGTGAATCAACTACTATTGTTCTGTTTTATTTTAACTAGGACAAAAAGACCTGCAATTTTCTATGGTGACCTTGGGCAGGCAAGTAAATGGTACCCTAAAAAAGGTGTAGGGGGGTTGGGAAAAGGCCTATCAAGAGAAAATAGATGTGGGCTGAGTACTGAATAATTAGTGAACTAATGTAGAGGCAGAGCCCTAGATCAAGCACCAGGTTCTGTGCTGTGAGACAAGTTGATTTACAGTTTGGAGAAGCCAGAGATCACTGGATGTCATGGCCAGTCAGGGTGGAGGTTAGATTTAGAACTCGGTTTTAGAAAGTGGTATTAGGCAGGATTAGCACTGCAAACAGGACTTGGAGACAGGAGTTTACATGACATGTTGACAGATGCTCCCACACTGAACAGAAGCTTCCCCAAGAGCATTAGGGGCAATGGGCAACACCAGAGCCTGAGGGCCTTAAGAATCAGTGAAGAGCTGGACATGAACATGACAGATAGTGGGAACTTATCACTGTGGTTTTCTTTCCCTTCCTCTGCCTCAATCCCAGGTATGTGAACTGTGCCCGGGATGATGAAGAGCAGAACCTGGTGGCCTTTCAATACCAAAGGCAGATTTTCTACCGAACCTGCCGGGTCATCAGGTCGGGCTGTGAGCTACTGGTCTGGTTCGGGATTGAATATGGCCAGGAGCTGGGCAGCAAGTGGGGCAGCAAGTGGAAGAGACAGCTCGAAGCCGAGAGAGGTGGGTACCACTGTTCTTCAAAACAGCAAGAAAAGAGATAAATCTCCATAGAAATGTTCATGATCCAACTCTTAAGTAGAGTAAAATCCACTCTAAAGTCAGTAAAGTTTCTAATCAGATGCTTAAAAAATTCACAATTCATTCATATGCCTTTGGCTCTTAGGCAAAATTTTTATATTTTTTTATTTTAAAAATATTTCATACATTGCCCCTGGCTGGCGTAGCTCAGTGGATGGAGTGCCAGCCTGTGAACCAAAGGGTCACCAGTTTGATTCCCAATTGTGGCACATGCCTGGGTTTCACACCAGGTCCCCAGTAGGGGGCAGTTGACAGGCAACCACACATTGATGTTTCTCTCCCTCACCCTCCCTCCCTTCCCCCTTTTCTAAAATAAATCTTTTAAATGAATCTTTTTATAAAAGATTTGATTTATTTTTACAGAGAGTAGAAAGGAGGTAGAAAAAAAATCAATGTACAAGGGAAACATTAATCATTTGTCTCTGGCACACCTCCAACTGGCCCACAACCCTGGCATGTGCCGTGACTGGAAATTGAACTTGTAACCTTTCAGTTTTGGGACAACACCCAACCTGCCGAGCTGCACCATTCAGGCAGGGCACATTCATTCGTCACTTCAGTGAATTATGTGAGATCCTACTCTGTGGCACACAGGGTCCTGGGACCTGGAAATACAGATTACCATGAGGATCAGAATCACTGCTCTTGAGGAGCTGACCAGTGAAGAAAGAAAACCCAGGCCCAGGACAAGGGCCTAGGGATCAGTGTGAGGGGAGATGCAGCTGCTCAGGAAATAACATTTACAAAAATACCTACAGGCAGAGAATCCCAGGCAGAGGGAGCAAGTAGTGCAGGAGAGAAAAGAGGTGAGGCATTGAAGTGGCTGAGGGTCACTCAGGCCTCCTCTCAGCATGGAGGGTAAGAACTGAGTTCAGATAGATGCTTAGCAGACCAGAAGTGCAGTGCTGATGACCCGAGTTGAGACAATGGGGACTTTCATGAGTGAAAGTGTGTTCTCTGTTCGATTATGCTTTAATTTTTAGAAAATAAACTCCGGTGGGGAGTCCCCTCACAAATTACTTCAACTGCAACTGAGAGAGCACATGGTGGATTGGCCAGAGAGGAGCAGAAGTCAGGTGTATAAGACGTGTGGTTGGAGAAAATTTTTGAAATAGGACTTCTCAGTGTATTTGAAATGGGCTAGCACTGAATGAGATGAAGCATAAATATTTGGTGTGAAGCTGAGGAAGGACATATTTTTAAGAATTTATTTTTTTATTTTTAGAGGGAAAGAGGGAGAAAGAGGGAAACATCTGTGTGTAGTTTCCTCTCGCACGCCCCCTACTGGAGACCTGGCCCACAACCCAGGCACATGCCCTGAGTGGGAATCAAATTGGACTCCTTGCCTTGCAGGCTGGCACTCAATCCACTGAGTCACACGAGCAAGGGCAGGAAGGACATTTTATTTTACTGTTTTGGAAAACAGAAGGAATTCCTAGTCGAGGCCTGTGGTTTTCCTCTTTCACATGACTTAGAAAATACCTATAGAAGGGAAAGGTCATTGCAGTTCCATCCACACAGGGAGTAAGATGGCCTCTGATGTTCCTCAAAAATCCCTAGTCTGGGCAATATTAGAAAAGACCCTTGATGTGGGCTTTCTGGATTTCTGAAAAAGATGCACTGCATAAAAATAAAAAGGAAAATAGATGGCAAGTGGACACTTTGTGGGAGATGGAACTTCTGTTGTCACCACAGTAAGAAGGATTCATGGGGCAGGTGTCACTAGGAGACAAGTTATATGGCCCAGGCATTCTCATCAATGTCTGCCCTGACCAAACCTTTCTCTTTCAGCAGAACCAAAGCCAGAGGTCCACCCATGTCCCTCCTGCTCTCTGGCCTTCTCCAGTCAGAAATTCCTCAGCCAACACGTGAAATTCAATCATTCCTCTCAGATTCTCCTGGGAACATCTGCAAGAAAACACCTCCAAGCAAAGGAACCCTGTCCAGAGGATCAGAATCAGCAGCAGCAACATAGTAGTACACACAGCTGGAATGAAAAAGCTGAATGTCAAGAGGTCGAAGAAAGGTCCGAACTTTTGCTTAAAAGGATCAGTCAGAGGAAAATCTTAAGACCCTTTTTCCAACCTTCCAAAGAACCAATGAGGAGCTCTAGTGAGCATGAGAGAATGATGGAGGACGAGCCCTGTAGAGGCCAGAGGGAGAGTCCAGAGGACACAGGCAAGTTATTTGTGAAAGTAGGAATGTCGAGAATTATAACGATCAAGTATGGAAGGTGTTGGCAAGGCTTCAACGATGAGTCACATCTCATTAGAGACCAGAGGACACACTCTGGGGAGAAGCCCTATGTTTGCAGGGAATGTGGGCGAGGCTTTACATGCAAGTCAGTTCTCATCACACACCAGAGGACGCACTCAGGGGAGAAGCCCTATGTTTGCTGGGAGTGTGGGCGAGGCTTTACACAGAAGTCACATCTCATCACACACCAGAGGACACACTCAGGGGAGAAGCCCTATGTTTGCAGGGAGTGTGGGCGAGGCTTTACACGGAAGTCACATCTGATCACACACCAGAGGACACACTCAGGGGAGAAGCCCTATGTTTGCAGGAAGTGCAAGCGAGGCTTTACATGCAAATTAGGTCTCATCAGACACCAGAGGACACACTCAGGGGAGAACCCCTATGTTTGCAGGGAGTGTGGGCGAGGCTTTACATGCAAGTCAGTTCTCGTCACACACCAGAGGACACACTCAGGAGAGAAGCCCTATATTTGCAGGGAGTGCAAGCGAGGCTTTACACAGAAATCAGGTCTCATCACACACCAGAGGACACACTCAGGAGAAAACCCCTATGTTTGCAGGGAGTGTGGGCGAGGCTTTACACAGAAGTCACATCTCATCAGACACCAGAGGACACACTCTGGGGAGAAGCCCTATGTTTGCAGGGAGTGTGGGCGAGGCTTTACACAGAAGTCACATCTCATCACACATCACAGGATACACTCAGGGGAGAAGCCCTATGTTTGCAGGGAGTGTGGGCAAGGCTTTACACGGAAGTCAGATCTCATCACACACCAGATGACACACTCAGGGGAGAAGCCCTATGTTTGCAGAGAGTGTGGACAAGGCTCTACACGGAAGTCACATCTCATCACACACCAGAGGACACACTCAGGGGAGAAGCCCTATGTTTGCAGGAAGTGCAAGCGAGGCTTTACATGCAAGTCAAATCTCATCACACACCAGAGGACACACTCAGGGGAGAAGCCCTATATTTGTAGGGAATGTGGGCGAGGCTTTACATGCAAGTCACATCTCATCAGACACCAGAGGACACACTCAGGGGAGAAGCCCTATGTTTGCAGGGAGTGTGGGCAAGGCTTTACACGGAAGTCAAATCTCATCACACACCAGAGGACACACTCAGAGGAGAAGTCCTATGTTTGCAGGGAGTGTGGTCAAGGCTTTACGCAGAAGTCAGATCTTATCAGACACCAGAGGACACACTCAGGGGAGAAGCCCTCTGTTTGCAGAGAGTGTGGGCGAGGCTTTACACAAAAGTCAGATCTCATGAGACACCAGAGGACACACTCAGGGGAGAAGCCCTATGTTTGCAGGGAGTGTGGGCGAGGCTTTACACAGAAGTCAGGTCTCATCACACACCAGAGGACACACTCAGGGGAGAAGCCCTATGTTTGCAGGGAGTGTGGGCGAGGCTTTACACAGAAGTCAGGTCTCATCAGACACCAGAGGACACACTCTGGAGAGAAGCCCTATGTTTGCAGGGAGTGTGGGCGAGGCTTTATACAGAAGTCACATCTCATCACACACCAGAGGACACACTCAGGGGAGAAGCCCTATGTTTGCAGGGAGTGTGGGCGAGGCTTTACATGCAAGTTAGATCTCATCAGACACCAGAGGACACACTCAGGGGAGAAACCCTATGTTTGCAGGGAGTGTGGGCGAGGCTTTACACAGAAGTCACATCTCATCAGACACCAGAGGACACACTCAGGGGAGAAGCCCTATGTTTGCAGGGAGTGTGGGCGAGGCTTTACACGGAAGTCAGGTCTCATCACACACCAGAGGACACACGCAGGGGAGAAGACCTATGTTTGCGCGTGGCCTGAATGAGTCATTAGCATTAAGTTGGATATCAGCAGCCATAGGAAATCTACGGCCCCTTACTTTTCCCAAGATTGTAAGTACAGAAGTAACTGATTAAACAAACCCTCCAGTTTCATGATAAGAGATGAGATGGACAAACAGTTCCATGTGTAATATGGGGATATCAGCCCCAATCTCTTTCATGGGTTTTTGATGGCCTTTGCTAAAGAATTTTGTCTCCATACAAATATGAAGCCCGAGTCCCTCATTCCGCCATCACTGAAAGCAGAGAGTTCAGAAAGAGACACCAAGAACTCATACTCTCAGCCACAGAAATTCAGCTCCTACAAATGGGTGAGTCGGGGCTCAGTCTACTTTGGTTACTGCCCAGAGAGAGGGATTTGAGACAGACTCACCTGAGAAGGGAATTCCCCGGACTCCTGGGAAGTGGGGCCTTTTCTCCTAATCAGCTCCCTACCCTCCTCCCTTGGCTTGTCTTGGCTCTTCTAGGTTCTACAACCTCCGGAGCCTCAGAGGTGAACGGCAGGGAGGGATGTATGCTTGTGCACAGATGTGAGCCTGGCTCAGTCTGGACACCTGGTCTTTCTCACTCTCCTTGCTGCCCCTTCAGGATCAGCATTTCCTGGTGCACAGCACACAGATTCCACATCAGTCCATAGTGGGTGTCAGTCTCAGCTCTGTCTTCTCCAGCTGTGTGACCTAAGACAAGGTTCTCAACTTCTCTCTGCCTGATTCCTAGTCTGTACACTGGAAATGGGAACTCCAGCCTTTCAGTTTGACATTCAAAGTTGAGTGAGCACAGACAGAATCTGGCAAGTGGATCACTGAGATCACAAGTCCTGCTGAACAGCCATCAGTGCCCATGTCTTCCAGGTCTTTAGCACTGGACAAAGGAAGATAAGGACAGGGTGGGGGTCTGTAGCTAAACCCAGATTTTGAGCAAACCCCACTGCTTTCCCCACATAGACTCAACTGCCCTGAGGAGGCGTGAGGTGGGGAATGTGCCTTCCTCCAGATTACCACCCTCTCTCTGAGCTTGTGCACTCAGAGCCTCCTCAACACAGGCAGGTGGTACTGAAAATACCCTGTGAAACAAGACCCTCACCCATCCCTTGCTGAGAACTGACACTGTGAGCAACATCTGCCCACACTGGTGTTAGGTAGGATAGATGGTAAGCCAAGGCAGGGAGGATGAGGAAGACATGTGTCACCCACTAACCCAGCAGTCCTGAGCCTGGGCCATTTCTATTGCCAGATGATCCAGCATCACCAGAAACACAATGCCAACATGTTGAAATTTTAGGTATCATTTCCACCATCTGGGAAGGAAAGGCTTTGAAACTATTCATGCCACAGCCTAGAAGATGGGAGGGGGTCCACAGCACTCAAGGAAAGGACCCATAAAACAAAATTGGCTAACTGCCTCTGTCCACTATCTGTTTCATGAAGGGTCCCTAATGTTTACAGAAAGAACCCATAGATAACTTTGGGTGACTGCTTTAACTTTCACTGTCTCCTGTCTCATACCTATTTTACAAGATGACCAAATGGGGTCTGAAGCCAGATAAGAATTTGGGCTACTGACCCCACACATACCTACGTTTGAGTAGTCTCATCCCCCGTGGAAGCTGGTACCACTTTTACCTGTCAATCAATATGTAGCTTCTTTGCCCCCATCCCACCAACTATATAAGTTCTCAGGACAAAGGACCTGGTGCTCTTGCCACCCAAGCTCTTCCCTTTCACTCCCATCTCAGCAAGACCTGTCCTCTTCCATGAGAACATATCACTAACAAACCCTGCTTGCACACTAATACACTTGCTGATCTATAATGCTTTACTGCATTGGCAAGAAGAACTGAGTTTCTCCTGTGACAGGTGCACCCAGTCTGCAAATGGCATTCATGAAGCCCCCAACACAGGGGCTTCTGTAATGCACTCTCCTTGTACCTGGGCCCCACAGGGTTTAATACACCACTGACACCATCTTGAAATTAGTACCTACTGTATCTTTAAACTTTTGTGAGGTCAAGAGTGATGGGATAATGGACATGCACAATGTTGTTCATTCCTGGCCACCCCTTCCCAGATAATGTCCACAATGGCCCAGGGGGCAAAATTCCGGTGGGCCCAATGTTGGGAGTCCAGCGAGACTCAAGATGAGAACAGGGTAAACATCTGTATCTGCATAAGCATAAGGAAGGGTGCTTACAGCTCCCAGAGGTCACACTTTTCTTAGAACCAGAGCTGAATTCAATACACAGAGATGGCAGTTAGTGAGGACCCCATCATACCCTCTCCTGCATGACGGAGACCTAAGCATGACCCACCCTGTTCCTGCTGGAGTGGGTTCACCAAAGGGGGACACCCACCCCCATGACCAGGAACAATGACCTTTCTGTCTTCCCAGTGCCAGGCTTGTGAAGAAGAGTCTACATAAACTGTGGATTTCAATAATAAATACCCACTATTGTTTCCTTTTATGCTTTTTTAAAGGAAGGTGTATTTCTTGGGTTTTGTTTCCCTTCCCTGTTTCTCCCCCACCACCACAGCCCAGAGAGAACACCATAAACTCAATATTCTGTGGCTTTCAGCATGGGCCATGGGAGAGGGGCAGAGTCCTGCTGTAATGGTGGCAGAGGGGCTGACATTGAATTCAGTGGGAAGGGGAACCCACAGACTGCCACGTGATGCTCACCATGACACCCCACCAGGACAGACCCTGGAGTTCTCCCAGAAGGCTTAGTGATTCAAGATGAGTAGAGAGGTCTGTTCCCTCTCCCCTTCAGCAGCAAAGCACATTCCTAGTATAGCTGCAAGTCTCCAAGGTACCCCCCAAATGCACATGCCCTTGTACACTCCCTCCTTCACACAACCGAGCTGATCTGTGTTGTGAAAATGGTGTGTGGCTCTCGAAGCTAAGTCAGAAAGAGACTTTTGTTTCAACCTTGCTTGTATAGTTCACACAATCTCAGACCACCTTGTGCAGGGAACTGGGTGTTTACACACACACCCCTTGCCCACCTGGCAGTGGCTGGCAACCACCATCCTTGTTTTGAAGTGGAGGCTCCAAGAAGCGACTGCAGCCTGATGTCGGATAGATTCCAAGCCTCTTGCCCTTGCCCAGAAGATGGTTGTTTAATGGAGAGGATTGTTCTAGGTGGGTGCCTCAAGGGCTCCTCATCTGCTCTCTGGAAGAGAAAGAGAAACGTGCTCTCTCACCTTTTCCTGATGGACAGTTACACGTCTTCTGCTGACAAATTCAGGACTCTTTCCCTGGGGCAGTGAGTTCCGGTGGTTGAATGGGGAGCAGTACTTGTTAGAAGTAACCACCTGGTTTCTGGTGAGGAGCTCCTACTACACTACTCCCCAGTGATCCTACCATGTCCACAGCATCGCCTTGTCTGGGTGGACACCACACTTTGGAGTGGCTGCTGGTGGTTCCCTTCATGTGCCCATGATCTCTCCCGATCCCCATTAGTGTCAAATATCAATGATTCATCCCCCTTTCCACAGTTTGTCTTCATAATATAACATATTCCTTGTGTATCAGCAGACAATCTGATGTGGAAATGTGGTCAGGCAGGGATCCCTCCTCCTCCCCCCTTAACTTCTGTGAACCCAAACATCAAAGTGATTAATGTAACTGTACTGGTGGAAATGATTTTTGACGCTTCATTTGGTTTTTTTAAGTACGTCGCCTGTCTCCCGCATGGCATACTGGGTTCTGTCCTTGATGAACGTCTGGACTGGATGGCTATCGACTGTGACTTGTCCATCCAACGCGTGGGGAGACTCCACACAAGAAATCTCCAATGAGAAACTTCACAAACCACTTCTGACATGTTCAATCCATCACACCACCTTCTTCCACAAGCCACAAATCTTGTATTCCATATAACTGGCTTTTTAACCCTCTTGATGTGCCACAGTGTAATGTACTGAAAATATTACTTCTATTTATCCATCTCCAATATGAAAATGACCACACACTCATTAGTTCTGATGAGTTTTTCTTAAACACATGCTGATAGGACAGTTTAACCAAAGGGTTTCAAATAAAGTTAAAGACTAGTGCGTGAACCAGAGTCACATGATGGCAGAGTGAAGGCAGGGTGGTGAGGGACTGAACTGAGTGTTTGGCCAACCCAGTGTAAAGCAGGCTTCAACCAGCATCGCAGCATTGAAATCATATACAGTGAATTTCTTGCTCTCATATCACTTAAGCTAGAATTCACTGAAAGTGGGTGGCTGAAAAGTTCTGTTGTTTGGTATTTATGAAACATACACCTAAATAATCTCCAAAATGAATCACCATTTGAGATACAAAATAACTTTAACTGAAATATGCTTAACATACTACACACTGAAACTTGAGAAAGAAATTTTCAAGCAGAAATACACGTAAAAAACAGAAACTGGAAATGTACCAATTTTTGCCCCATATGAGGAAACTAAAATAGTAAAGGACGTCCAGACAAAAAAGAGAAAAAGAGCCCCAAGACATGTCCTTAAGGCGACATACACAAAACGGTGACACTTTTATTTTATTTATGTATTTTATTTTGTATTTTACACCATGGTAGAGAAAATTGAATAAACTTTACTTTTCTCATTGTTTAAGGAAGCTGCAACAGGCAACACAAATTACAAAAGATTTTCAGGCACACCTGCAACTCGTCAAAGCCTGACTTTATTACACTACAAAGCGGGTTCCAAGAAATGTCACATGAAACGCATTCATCACTCCTTTTGCCCTTAACCTGCACACCACTCATAAGGTAACTGGACAGTGCTGACATTTAGACGTTTTCTAATGAATTGGTAAATACCGCTGCCATCAAAAGCCATTGATATTCCACCGAAATCAGTCACTTTTCCTGCAGACTTGAACTGAGGCGTCATTCCCAAAAATGACCACCAGATGACAGAAGAGACTGACAGCTGGAAACACTAGTACTATTGGCTTCACAAAAAGGCTTTTTACCGGTACAATGAACCTAAAACAGTAAAGTCAATCTAGGCGGAGCTGAGGAAATGAGCCCATAAACATCTCTGTAGGGCACATACATAAAATGAGAGTGCTTGTATTTTACTTTAATTTGAACTCTTGGTGGAGAATTTTAATAAATTTTAAGAAAGCTGCAACAAAGGAAATTACAATTCTCAAGCACACCTGGAAACTGTAGAAACCCGGCTCTATCACACTACACAACCAGATCCAAGAAATGTCACATAAAACACACTAATTGCTCTCCTGGCCGTTAATCTGGAAACCAGTGACAAGGTAAATGGACAGCCCTGACATTTACACGTTTTCAAATACACTTGTAAAAACCTCTGCCATCAAAAGGCATTTATATTCCACTGAAATCAACCACTTTCACTGCTGACCTGTACTGAGGCATCATTCCCCAAAATGGCCACAAGATGGCAGCACAGACCGACATTTGGAACACATGGAACCACTTACTGGCTTGGCAGAGAAGTTAGTTCAGTTTTTACCATCAGGTGCCATGGCAGGCACACTTTTCCTTTTCCCCCAAAAACATGACTGAACAACGACTGGACAATGCAGTCACCACTTTGTTCCACTGCCCTCTGTCACCTTTCAGGCAACTTCACCATTCACTTCATCATCCCACAGCATTGTTCTCTTTCGGAGCAGAGAACTCTTCCAGGTGCCTTCTGCAGTCTCCCAGG